AAATGAGGGCATTGAATGGGTCATAGCCACCTTATGTACTCTTAACCTTGGCATCAGCTTTCTTGCCTTTCTGTATCTCCTGCAATGCCACCTAAAGCACGTCCCTTCAGCACATCACCAGAATAGTACATCTATACTACTACTACCTTATACGCATGCTCCACCCTAGACTGTAGATAAGGACTGCCATAGAAATCAGGGGGATTGGGGTTATTCAAATCATATAGTTTCTTGTAATGCTGATACCCAGAACCATACACATCCCTACCACGACCAAACATCATTCTACCTCTGCTAGGATATCCCTAGCCTCAGCATTATGTATCTCAGCGCTGTCTATCCCTAATATCTTATGAGCCTCTTCGACTGGCATCTTCCGTTTAGCAGCCCTAAGCGGTTGTATTATCATAATGACGAGGGCAGCAAGCATTACGCCATCGTTGCTGCCTGTGCGGCTTGCTTAGCAGCATCCCTGTATGCACTCACGACGGCTCTCCCTACCATATTACCGGCTACTGACGCTATTCGAGTCACCAACCTGACCACAATATAGTAATCAGCAACTACGCCTCTCATAAGGAGTATGGTACCGAGCCAATGGACCGACAGCCATGATGACGTATCACGGGGGAGGGGAGGAACAACCAAACTGATTGGACTGAACTGGAGAATACCAACCAACTCGGAACTAGGAAGGTACTACAACTAGAGGAAATCGAATTAGATGTTGGTAATGGTAGGTATCATACAACAGTGTCTTGATAAGTATTCCAAACCGATAAGCGTCCATCAGTACTAGCCGCTACAAAACGGTTATCTGGTAGAAAAGTAACTTTGGTGATGCTGGCGTCGTGGGATCGAGGGAGATCTCCTAAGAGCGTACCTGTAGATGGTGACTGTAGATGTGACAGCCTCTTGTTATGGTCAGGTATCACGTGTCTTAACATCTATTAGGGTAATGCGGCCGTCCCAGAGGCCAGCAGCGAGCAAACGTAGGTCACTCCTTACAGCCATACTTCCAATACCGACACTACCCTCTTCAACATGCAAGAAGTTGTTGCTACTGCCCATGCCAACCTAGGGATCAATATCATCATAGTACCGGGATGGGGTTACCTCTTCAATGGAGTATTCCTCGTCCACCCTCCCAGCTGCAAGCATTGATATATAACTGTTGGATGTGCCGACCCAGAGTTCATTGGCCAACCTCTCCATACAGGTTACTGTAC